GGACCAGCTCCCTCCGAGCAGCAGCAAACGTGTCTGAAGAAGCTCCTGTTTGAAAGTCAGACAATGTCCATGGGTGAGATACGGCAGAAGATGCAGCCTGCCTCGGAGCACCTTGCCAAGCCCTTGCCTGCCTCTGAAAGGTTAGCCAGGTCGCAACGTCAGCAGGCTCGCGTCACAGGGCTAGTGTACACCCCCGAAACAGCACCCTCGCATTATCTTGTGGACTTGTTTAATGATCAACTTGAGCTGGGGGTCATCAGCTGGGTGGCTCCCGAGAAGTGTGCATCGCGTGCTGAGGAAATGCAGCAGAGCAAGAAAGATCGAGCTTTGCAGCTCACCCTGGATGGACAGGTGAAGGTGCAGGCGAAAACGAGTGAAGTCAGGTGCATAGCCAACACTGACTCAAAACTTCGTGCAGCCTGGCAGAGGAGATCGCTTGCTATGGACATGGCAGGGCTCGCAACTTTCATAGTGGTTGAGAAGTGGGTTCACCACTTGTTTTCCATCTTTGCAAGGGAAGTCCCGGATGGGTATTCACCGATTCAGCTAAAGCAATTGGTGAGTGCAGATAAGAGGCTCTTCATGTTGGCTGCCGAGTCCTTGCCTGCAGATCTCCGGGCCGCTCGAGCCGGAGAGGAGACACCGCTTGATCGCCAAATTGGGCAGCTTATGTACTCTCCAGAGATTTCCCAGTACCTGGTTCCCCTTCCCAAGCTGCCTCCGCCTCCGCCTCCAACCTTGCCACACAAGCGAGAGCTGAGCACTGATGCGAAGATTGATAAGGGCTTCATGAGCAAGGCTTGGAAGGGCAATGGGAAGGGGAGGAAAGGCGAGGATGGGAAGGAGATTGATCCAGCCAAGCGCTTTAACCTTCCTGAGGGCTGCTGTGATCGTAACGACAAGAATCAGCCTCTCTGTTTCTTGTGGAACCAGGGAAAGTGTAAGTGGAAGGGCAAGGGCAAGCGGTGCAATCGAGGATTTCATCAGTGCTACCTGAAAGGATGCTTTCGTGACAAGCCCTACATTGAGTGTACACATACAGACTGACAGTCTGAGGCGCTGCAGGCTAATGATTGGACCCCGGAGGCCCAACCTGGCCTTCATCCTGCGGAGGATTTGGCTCGCAGCGCCCTCTTGAAAGGTCAGCCGTGCAAGTCCGACTTACTTTCAGTTTTCGAGCTCCTGCCCTCAGGCAACAATCCCAGAGGGTCCAGTGAGGATGCTAAGGCCTTTGTCACAGGTGCTTTTGTGCATGGCGGCATGTGCTCAGTTACCAGCAATCTCAAAGTTTTTCCATGGTCGTCTGAGTTGTTGGCAACCTTTGCCCGCCAGAAAGCTCCTGCTGTCAAATTTTCATCTTTAGCCCTTTTTCGCAACAACTTGACGGCCCCCCACAGGGACTCTCATAATTGCCCGCAGAGTACAAACCAAGTTTTTGCAATTTCCGATTTTTCCGGTGGCGGGGTCATCATTCAAGACCCCGAGGGTGAGCAAGTCTTGCAACATGCCGGCTGTGAGTATCGAGGCCGAGTCATTCCCTTTGTCAACGGGATGATTCGGTTTGCAGCAAGAGATGTCATGCATTGGACTGAGGCCTGGCAGGGGGATCGGGTGGTCTTAGTGTCCTACACCATTCGAAATTTGCAGCAGCTCTCCTCTGCTGACCAGCAATCTCTGCTTCAGGCCAAGTTTGCATTGCCAGGGTCGCGGGCCCAGCCTCTTCGCACCCCTTCCCCTAGGGGTTTAGTTGGTTCTAGTCCCTCGGTTGTTAGGCCATGTTCCGAGCCAACCAGGCCAATAGTGGTTCAGCCTCCAAGCCGTGCTCCGACTGCGGAGCCCGGTGGAGCCCCGCTGGCTTTAGAGCTTTTCTCGGGGCGCGGCCGATTGTCCCAGCAGCTTCGGCGTGTAGGATTTTCGGTTATTTCCTTTGATGCTAGGCTGATTCATAGCCTTGTGCCGGTTTGCAAAATTGATTTAGCGTCCCTAAAAGGGCAAAACTTTGTCTGGTCCATTTTGGACTCTTGCAGGCCAGCCTTTGTGCATCTTGGACTCCCTTCAGACACCTGCAACTCGCATTCTCGGTCCGCCCGGGCTATGCGATCAACTGTTCATCCCTTCGGATGCCCTGAAGCTATGGCCTCAGCCTCAAGTGAGCCACGTCTGGTAGAGGCAAACCGTGTGTATCAGTTTGCATTTGCAGTTGCAGTCTTCTGCATCAAGCATGGAATCCCTTTCTGCCTGGAGAACCCCACGGGCTCACATGTGTGGCAAATCTTTGCTTCTTTGGCCAGGACCTCGACCGATCCCACGATTGCCAGACAGTGGGGCAAGTTGAGCTCGGTCTCGCTGCATACTTGCATGTTTGGGGGCAACCGTGCCAGACCCCTTCGCCTGCTATACCCGGGGACCTCTTTAGCAGGTTGGGCTTAACTTGCAATGGGCAGCACTCTCATAAGGTCTGGTTGCAGAGGCGGTCCAGTGCCGAAATTGCTGAGGATGCCTCCTATCCTCTTGACCTTTGTGTCAAAATGACAACTGAGCTTCTCAGCTTCATGCGAGCTTCGGGCCAACCACTTCCTGCATCGACTAGACTGCACGATCACTCTTTGGCCTCCCTTGGAGTCCAAACTCGCCGGTTCAGGCCTTTGATCCCGGAATATCGCGAGGTGATCAAACTCCCCAACGACTCTGCGTTGCCTCAGGGGGCTAAGGTCCTTTCTTCTAGCCAGCTGCAGGGGGTGAGTGTGGCTAGTTCCAATCCCGATGTGTCAGGTGCCAGTTCCATGCCATCCAGGGGTGCCAGTTCAGAGCCATCCAAGGATGCCAGTCCAGTGCCACCCAAGGGTGCCAGTTCAGTGCCATCCAAGGGTGCCAGTTCAGTGCCATCCAAGGGAGCCAGTTCAGTGCCATCCGAGGTGCCAGCAGGTGAGGTGCCGTCAGGTGAGATATCCCAGCAGGGCGAGGTACCTTCAGATGAGATCGTAGCTGTGGGCTTGTGGCATTCCCCCTCTGAGTTCTTTGCAAAGGCGTGTTCGTTGGCTCATCCCATGGATACCACAAAACCCGTGGCGATGGTGACCAAGGCAGCTATAGACTCCTTCTTGAATAAAGATGTAGCCTGGCTTGCCAAACAGAGAAAGGAGTTTCTCGACCATCTTGAGAAAAGGATAGAGCAGCTGAAGCCTCAGGAGGAAGCCCTGCATGCTTCCATGCCGGACTACATGCAAGGGGTTTTGAAGGAGAAAAACCTTCTTGTATGGGAGGAAGTCCTCAGGGAGACCTCTTATCCTGACCTAGATTGCATCCGGTTCATGAAGGAGGGTGTTAGACTTGTAGGCTGCGAGAAGCATCCAGAGAGCTTCCTAAAGAAGGTGGTCCCCGCAACTTTGTTGGTTGAGGAGCTCCGTGCTACTGCAAAACATCGCAGGGAGAGCCTGGCCACCCTAGACCGTGGGAACCTTTCGGAAACCGATGCTAAACTCTTAGCAGAAGCAACCAATGAAGAAGTCGAGGCTGGTTTCTTGAAGAAGGGTATGAGTGCGAAAGAGGTCAGCGATTTCTTTGGGCATGACAACTGGGGCGTGGTGCGCCGTTTCGTCCTCGTCCAGGATGGGGGGCGAAAGGTTCGCCCCATCGACGATTGTCTGGAGGCTCAGTTGAACGCTGCTTTTTCTGCCACCATTGCCTTGCAACTTCATGACTCCGACTACATAGCTTCCCTTGCTCTCTTCATTGCCGAACGTCTTCAGGGCTCCAAGGTGAGTGCACGTGTTCGATGGCTTGGCAAGTGCTTGGACTTGTCTAAGGCTTACAAGCAAATGGCAGTCCACCCAAGGGGCAGGGACCTGTGTGTCATTATGGTCCAGGCCCCAAAGGGTGAGCCGACCTACCACATTTGCAACTCCTTGATGTTCGGGGCATCAGCCTCGGTCTTTGCTTTCGTGAGGGTTAGCAGGACACTATGGTGGATCATGAACCGCTGCCTGGGCATCCCAGGGGGATTCTTCTTTGATGATTATCCAATATTTACACCTGAAGCCGCTGCCGAATCCGTGGATCACGACATTTCTCGACTGCTTGACTTGTTGGGATGGAAGCATGCTAAATCTGGGGCACCTTCCTTTGATGTTTTGGGGATGAACCTAGATCTGGGGTCCATCCTAGAGGGAAGAATTGTGTTGGCCAACAAGACAGGGCGTGCAGAAAAGATCCTGGAGAAGGTGGCACTTGCTTCTGCTGGAAACGGCAGCTTCAGGCAATCGCTTCAAGTGTTAATGGGGC